TGCCTGCGGTGTCGGTGTCGTGAGCACCGTGAGCGGAAGCAGGAGGCAGCGCTCCCTGCCCACACAGAGCTTGCAGCCTGTACACAACTCTCCAGTGACTCTCACACACGTAGAATCAGGATCTGAGAGTAAAATATTTTTGCACATCTGCACTACCCAATACAGTAGCCATAAGCCGTGTAGCTCTTGAACGTTTGAAAGGTTAAACTGAAGTGCACAGTGTATGCAAAATCCACCTTAGATGTCAGGGACTCGATGTAAAGGAAGGATAGAAGATATCTCTTTTGTGTGCGTTTGCACTGACTACTTGACATAGTGAACTAAACAGACAAAGAGATCTATCACTTAGATGAACTTTACCAGGCTTTTGTTCCCATATGTGTCTAGGGCAGCAATGACTCTGTCTGCTCTATGGATGCCTATGAAGACATGAAAGCCTCAAGTAGTCTGCCACAGTCTGCCAGGATCAGCGCCCAGGTGTCCCCCGAGTGAAAGACAGCCTACAAGGCAAGGAAGTAAGCAGGAAGTCTACAGCAGTCTGGGAAGTGACACCGCAGCAGCAGGGCTGGCTTCCCAGACAAGCCATCCTGAGCAAACACCCGTGGGTGTTGACTCTTTCCTCTAAATCCCCATTCCCCCATGACAGTACTGTGGCCTCAGGCAGCTGCAGAGTCCTGCTGCCGATCTCAGACTATGACAAGCAGGGGCAGGGATCGACACAGCGCACAGGTGGGTCAGGGGTCACAGCCAGGCCAGGTAAGAGGTACCTGGCCTCATCCTGTAAGGCCAAGTCTGGACACTAAAGGAGGGATATAGATGGGATGAGGGTTATAAAGCCTGGATAAATTTTTTTTTTTCACTCAGTTTTTGTGATAGGAGCCAAATGTGGAAACGATGGGGGACTTCTAAAACAGCAACACCCCCTTCAGTTCGATATTAAAATTTTAAAATTAAAATAAAAACAAGAAAATGTGCGAAAGAAAACTATAACATACTACAGCAGAGAGATAAGGCAGCCCTCTCAAAGAAAAAACAGATAAGGCAGAGCCTGCACAGAGGCCCCAAAGACATACGAAAAAAGGCCGGTGGAGAGCGGGTTGTGTTCAACTTTTTTTCTCCAAATATCGAAGTCTGTACTGTGCAGAGCAAAGCAGGACAGCATGGGAGGGCGAGGAAAGCATCAGAAATAACAATCTTAAGAGGAATGCTGAGTCCTCAGGGATAGGCAGGTCCTGGGAGCTTGCTCCACTGCTCCAGGCACACAGGACAGAGCACTGGCTAGAGACAGTGAGGCTGTCATCTAGCTTTTGCCTACTGTCCCTTAAACCAGGTCAGCGATGACAGTGGGAAACACATACACAAACCCAAAAAGAAAGAGTCAGCAGGGCGAGCAGCTGAGCGAGCGAGCTGGGCTGGGAGAACAGTGCCTGGGAGGACAGGGAGGGTGGAGGCGATCAGGGGGCGGGGCTAGAAGCTGGCCGGGTTTAGGAGTTTCAGCTGTTGATCAATTTGCAGCTCCAAACCTACACGTCTGAGCCTTCGCTGAAGAAGACCTAGAAACCATCCAGCCTTTTAAACCAGGCGCTTCTGATGCAGAAAGCTCCATCCGGGTTCCCACAGGACACCTACTTCAGGGCCTGCTTCCTTCTCTGTCAGGAACTGCTGGCAGCCCCCTATCCCGCCTCCCCCCCCCCCCCCCCCGCCCCCGTTCACGTGATAGGAGCCTGTCAGCACCCAAAAGCCATGCATGCACTCTCTAGGCAAGGGTGAGGCCACAACAGAGACCACAAATACCACTTTCCTGGGTCCACGTGCAGGAGGGTTGAGACAACTGAGAAAAACAAGTTCTTTAAGCACATCATAAAGCCAGGCCAGCTTCTTACTCCTCCAAAGCTCTTCCACAGGCCTTTCACATACCATTCCCTTGGCCTCCCCAGCACCTGGCACCAAACACCACGTAGGCAGCCCTTTCCAACTCAACCACCATTATCCAAGAGAAAAGCACCACACAGTTTAATGGCCCACAGTGGAAAATGCTCTGAAACCACAGAACATCCTTACACACAGAGCTGCTTCATGTCAGTAATTACTTCTTTGTATTAAGGGTTTTCTCCCTCCTCTTGTTCCAAAAAGTTCTGCAAACACTTCAAGAACAAGCTACTAGGGCCCAGCTGTACAGAATATTAATGTGAAACAGCGCATAAGATTCCCTTACACACTTCTGTAAAGAAGCTTTCTATAACCACTTAAATTTCAAAAAAAGCTCCCTTTTGATGAATGCATCCAACCAAAAGGTTAATAGCAGGAGAATCCTTAGGTCCAAAAAAAACGAAGGGGTCAGCTTTACTGTTGTCTCAAGTAGCTTTAAGGCTACATGAGGACTTCTTTAAATATGGAGGCGTTGGTGTCATCATAATACAACTTCATCAGCTACATCAAAACACTGAGATGTGGAGCATCTTCTCATATCGAGAAAAAGCAATGGACTAGGCTTCGTCCAACAAACACCTCAGATTCTGCCTCACTCCCTAGTAACCTCCAAACACTGAGACAGACAGACAGAGAGAGAAACAGAGACAGAGTGTGTTGTGTGTTGGTTCACAGACAGGAAGGAGATAAGAAAACCCCCAAATCAGCTTAACTCTTAACACCACATCTCTGGCCTCTACAGCTTTTCTTGGTAATACAGGCAAAGTGATCTAACACAGGCTGCCCTTCTTCCATGGCTAGCTCTAGAATAGCACAGCAAAGAAAGAGGACAACAAGGTACTACTTAGTGGGTGGAGCTGGAAAGAAAGAAGAAAGGAAAGAGGGAGAGAAGAAGAGAAGGAGGGAGGGAGGAAGAGAAGGAGGGAGAGAGGGAGGGAGGGAGAGAAGGAAGGAGGGAGGAAGGGAGGGAGGGAGGGAGGGAGGGAGGGAAGGAGGGAGGGAGGGAAGAAAAGATTCAATGCACCTTTCCAACTTTGTAGCAGGTGAGCCTAGCTAATAGTACAACAGGGCACAACAGACCACTTTCAAATTGCCTACATTGCGGAGCAGTTCCTGGCCTTTCCAGCGGGCAGTGCGAGACACATATAATCTGCCTGGCCTTGAACACTGGGGGATGCAGGCTAAGGGTGTGCCTGACTGGGAGCCCATTGGAGTTGGTGGATGCAGGTGCCTGGAAGTCAGGCCGAAAGCGGGTATCTATACTTGCAGCATTGCTGAAAAAAAGCTGAAGAGTGAGCCTGTGGCACTCAACTCACACTCACTCAGACCAACAGGCCAAGAGCCAAGTCCTTCCCTTCGGAGTTCACAAACTTAATCTCTACATACAAGGTAGGAATTATGGGAGGAAGTCAGACTAGAGTGTGACTGTTTGTTCTATGTGCACATACTAAAGTTACTCATCAAATTAGGGACCTTTCTTTTGGCAACAGTCTAGGGATCGCTGAGCAACCCCCCACGATTTAATAACAGTAACTGTCCCAGTATCCTGGCAGATACTGGGAAAATTATTCCAAACATCGAAATCTTCCTTCTAAAAGCCCCTAACATGTGTGTGCTCCAAAACCAGGGTATCTCTTCAGAGACAAGGTTTCAGCCACCTGATCAGGGATACTAAAGCACTCCATCTCCACCAACAAGAATGGCAAAGGACAAAACCACTGCTGGTCCCGCTGCAGCCGGGAGAGAAAAGTTTCTGCTCCACATCCTTCAACTGCGGGGTAAAATGTGGAAAAACAATCACACCTCTGCACGGTAAAATTCTTGGTAAGCTCTCCTACCACCCTCTTGGCTTCCTGGCTCACTTACTGCCTTGCCAAGCAAATTATACTGGGAGTTGTTAGAGCCAGCAATGGCCACCCTCACCCTCCTTCCCAGGGTAGCAGGGGCAGCTGGGAGTCTAATTTAGGAGGGTCTGACCATCTTAACTTTATTTCCAGAATACCAAACTCATCGCAATCCAAACGATTACATACATAGCTATTATAAATCAGTAAACCTACTAAGTCTTTCGTTGTAAGCACTTTGACCTCAAACTGAGGGAGAAGGGGCTTAAGACTAGGAACTTAATGTCGGAGTTTCTCCACATTTAAAGGGAGAGAGGGGAGAGAAAAGGGGCCGAGACCACCTAGGTCTGAAAATCGACACCGGTGGAAGTTCTGCGTTCTGGAAAAACCAACTAGGCATTTCCTCACCAGCCCTCCCTGGCTTTGAGGTCGCCCGCCCCGTCTGAACTTAGATGTGAGGCTACCAGCTGGCATTGCAGGCTCCCCAACTCCCTCTCACCCTCTTCTCCGACTGCGCTAAAGGGGTCCTCTGTCCGCGACGCTCCCGGCAGGGCAGGCGCGCCTCTAATCCACCAAGAGCACCGCTATCAGAGTCAACTGACTGCATGGCTTTTAGCCCACGCGGTAAGCAACTTTCGATCCCCAAAGCGGAGGAAGCAGGTTTCCCAGTCGCCGTATTCTCGAGAAGTTTCCGAGAGACGCGCAGCTTCGATCATTTGGCCGCACGAGTTGTCCACAGTCCCAGAAGAGAGAAATATCTGGGCCGCCATCCTGGGCACGGAGCCCGGGAAGCTGCCCTCCCCTCTTCTGCCAGGCTCTAGCCCCGGACCGCTGCGTCTTCATCTGCGCCGCCAAAACCGCGGGGTTCAAAATCGCCCCAGTTCCGGTATCGGTGTGCGCGCCTTAGGGGCGCAGCTCAGAGCCGGAGAACCTGCTCCGAGCGGGGCAGGGGCCACCCCCACTCCTGCCGCCGGGCCAGCAGGAACTAACTAGCCTAAGTTTCCCAGACCCGCCACCATCTCCGAAAAGTTCGCGCTCCTCCACGGCGGTAAGCCTGCGCTGCAGACGCGGGAGCGGGGCGGGTCCTGACACCTGCCGGCATCTCCCCTCCATCCCCGGGGCACCTCCCCGGGCTCTGGCAGGACGGACCCCGGAGTGGCCGTGCGCGGCTCCCCCCGGGCCGCAGCAGCATCCTCACACCTGAGCAGGCGGGGAGCACGGACTCACCTGGGCGCTGGAAGAGGAGGTGAGAAAGGCAGGTAGTTGGCGTTGGCGGCCCCCAGCTGGAGCAGCGCGGTGACTACGGGCCCCCAGACGGCTGCGGCGAGTGAGCGGTCCGGCCGCCGCCCCCTCCGATCTTAACCGGCCTGACCACTCCCCCGCGCCTCCCCGCCCCTGCCCCCGCCCCGCGGCCGGCCTCCCGGGGGAGCCAGGGCGGGGCGCGCCGGCCGCGGCCCCGCGGGATCCTTGCGCCCCACGCTGACGGCAGGGGCCGGGCGAACGCCGCCCTCTGATTGGCTGCCTGGCTCAATGGTTGCCGAGAGACGAGTAAACCTCCGGCGGCGCAAAGGGGCGGGGTGGCCGGGAGGCAGCATTGCGCATGCGCAGTCAGCGTGGTGCCGAGCCGCCGCCGGACTAACTTTGGAGTTGGGGCACGCTTCCCCTCTGTCCCTGCCGCTCGACTCTGCGGCTCCCACTTGCCTTCCCTTGCCCTGAGCGTTCTCCCCTCCACCCTGCTTGCTCCCTAGCTGGTGCGCGCGCTTTCTGAGTTTGGAGCGCTCTTCGCCCGAGCGCTCTCTGGTTCCCGGCGCCCAGAGTGGTGTTTGTGAAGTCGGAAATCTCGTAGGTGGGCCCAGGGAACCTCTCATTCCTCGAGCAAATTGGCTGGAGGTGAGGTCCTGGGGAGAAGGAAGCAGCTGATTCTCCAGCCGCGGGACCACCTGTGTGCAGTTAGCGGCGCTGGGAAGCTATCACCGAAGCACAACGTCTCAGCCCTCAGAATGGCACCGGGCTTTGCGGCTTGTTATCACTTGCAGGCGGCGAACCCCCAGACGCTGCCCTTAATTCCCCTGTACGTAGTTGATTGCTCTGCCTCAGAATTAAGGCTAACAAGTGGCAATCTCCTTCACCACTTAACTGTTCTGTTCGGAAGTGCAAGGAGCTGTTTTGGTTTGGTTTTGGGGTTTTAAGACACTCTCTCCTGAAGCCCAGACAGGCCTCTAAGCAGTCTTGGCCGTCCTTTAACTGATCCTCTCTGTGCACCCTCCTCCCAGCTGCTGGAATTACAAGCGTGGGTCATATCACATCCAGCTTTGCCAAATGACTTAACCTAATCTCCATAAGCTTCTGTTTTCTTTTTCTCATATGTGGGATGGGAGTAAGGATGGGATAACTGTGAGGTCAGTATTAGGAAAATAGGTATTAATCGTGCAATGCTGATATAAAGTGCATGCCAAGAGCTCGGTAATAAACACTTGTTGAGATTCCTTTGACCCTCTACTAGGTACTGGGGGCAAGATGGCTTCCTGAGTCAGTAGTCCCCTCTGCTCTCTTATCACCCCTGCCTAGCCTGGATGCCCTGCAGTGTCTGCGAGGCTATCAAGAGTTCTCATGTACATGCTTTCTCTGGTGGGGGAGAGGAGTTCCCAGAAACTATAAGAGTAGAAAACATCAGTGTGGGAACTGACATGTTCTTGAATGCAAATTCGGGATATACGGTCAGTTCTGTTGTTGATAATGTGAGCACCATCAGGGTCCATAGTGTCTGTTATCGTGTGCAAAATGATGGGTATGTCCCCACAGAGCTGTCACCCAGAACATGTCCAGTTTATCCACAGCCTCTGCCACTCAGTGTCTTACAGGGCTGCCAAGATTAAGATCTCAGTATTCCTATATCGCTTGTGCCGGTATTTGAACTTGACGTGGGGAAACAGGGTGAGCAAATTTCTGTCTATGAGATTTCTGTGTTGTGTGTACCCGTGGCTCATTCTTTCCTGCTGCTTATTCGCTAAATAACCAGCAACTCAAGTTCTCAATGTATGGGTTGGTAGGCATTTCAGTTGCTTCAGGTTTTGGATAGTCCGTAGTGAAATTGCTGGGAACATTCTCCTGTGTGTCTTCTGTGTGTAAGCTGCAATGTTCATTTGTGTCAGACACATGTGGGGGGACTGGAAATTCTGTTCACAGAATGTACACATGCTTTAATTATATTTCCAGCAATTTGAATTATAACAATAACAGCCAAAGGGAAAAAAAATAAAAACAAATTTTAACCATAAAACAAGCAAAAAATATACAAATACATTTTAAAAGCAAAACGGATAATCAGTTTCATGTTTCAGCCATTGCTGTAAGATTCCTGGTAACAACGTATTTGCCATTTTGGTACCAAGGTATTTAATTTTTTTAAATTACATTTTATTGTGATTGCATGCCACAGTGAGTGTGTGGTGCGGCGGTCATAGAACAGCTTTTTTTGGAGTTGGTTCTCTCCTTCCACAGTGTGGGACCTGAGGGTTGAACTTGAGCCATCCTCAGCCTTGGCCACAAGCAGCTTTATCCACTGAGCCATCTTCCTGGCCCAAGTGTTTTCTTTTTAAATTAAAAACAGGGATGTACATTTCATTATAATTAAACATCCATTTTTTTCTGGTGATCAATGCCACTCAGCAACTTTTCAGATGCTTAGCATCCATTATGAAGGTCTTTGACGGCGAATATCTGTTTGTGTCATTTGCCTGTTTGAACTCGAAGTTCTTGACATATTCTGGGTATAAATCCTTTGTTGTATCTATTCCAAATACCTTCTCTCAACCTGTGGCTAACTTCTAGTTTACTGATATTTTCTGATTAAAAGAATTTCTTAATTTTCAATCACCCTGACTTTATCAGTCTTATCTGAGTTTACTGATATTTTCTGATTAAAAGAATTTCTTAATTTTCAGTCAGCCTGACTTTATCAGTCTTATCTCTAATGCTTAGTCTTTTATGCCATGTTTAAGGAATCTCTGCCTAGCCCAAAGCAACAAAGATGATCTCCTCTGCTTTCTTCTAAGAATTAGGTTTCCAGCCTTGAGGGAATAACTGACCTTCTACAGAGCTCCAATCTCAATAACCCACGAGCAAATTATTACCTTGGCCTTTGACATGGATACCGTCACCAGAGGTAGCTCTGATATTATTAGATGTTTTAGTTAACACACAAATTAGGGGTTTTCATACGTGCGTGTTTGCTGGCTACTGCTTCCCCACCCCCTCAGGTGTCCACCAGGGCCCTCCCCAACCATCTGGTGTCTTCACTTCCCATTCAGCTTTCTTACCACAAGTAGACTTCTTAACCTGAAGTTTAATCCAGCCTTTGCTTAGGTGACATTTTGTTTAACTTCCTGAACAAATTCTATGATAGGGAGATAGGGAGAGCAGGATCCAGACAGGAAATTTGTTATATTCACGTGTGTACACTTCCCTTAGCTCCCCAACCCACAGCCTTTCTAAACTTTTTTTTAAAGAATTTTTTGTTTTGTTCTGTTTTCTTTTCTAAATACCCGGTGTTCTTTCTACCTCATAAACCTGTGGCACCCTGGAGCTGGCAGGAGGCTCAAGAAGTTGCCAGGTCCTGTCTACTAGACATGGAACCAGATATTTAAACTGTCTGTCCAAGACTCCAGCCTCTGCTGGTGCATAGCCAATCAAAATGCTGCAAAGACCTTTCTCTCTTTCATTAGGAATAATCCACTGGCTTCTGCCTAGAGAAGCTGAAGGTGAGAAAACAGATAAGACAGTCTTCAAAATACAAGAGGGCCCTCTTTTAGCAACAACCCTAGAGACTGCATGTCTCAATAGAATCATTTTAAGTACTCCAGCGAATCAAAGGAATTCTACTGCTGCCTTTGTCGGGTAAGAAAGACTTTTGGAATAGTGGTCACTTGTCCCCTAATTTATCAGTTTCCAATGTCCTGAATTTTTTATTATTTTATCTCAGAGAGAGTTGTCATAAAATTTGTTTAAATGCCTACTAAGTGTCTCCTTCAAAATGATTAATTTCAGCATTATTAACATACATATAAAGAAGTACCAGGACCTCAGTAAGAACATAGATTAATGAATGTCCCTCCACACTAAGCAAATCTGTGCCTCTACCTACATACACATTAAGAAATAAAGGAAGCAGAGAGGTGGCGGCACAGGCCTTTAATCCCAGCACTAGGTGGCAGAAGCAGGCACATCTCTGAGATAGCCTGATGTACAGAGTGAGTTCCAGGGCAGCCAGGGCTACACAGAGAAACCCTGTCTCAAAAAAAACAAAACAAAACAAACAAACAAAACAGGAAGAAAAAAAAGAAAGGAATTGCAAGCTGATTGTGATATACCTTCAGACAAATGCTTTGTCTACATCCCTGAGTCAGGAACAGAAAGGATTATGGTTTAGTTTTCCACTGACTACCAAGACCCCTTACCAGTAAACCCTGTTTCCTCTCTAGCTTCTTCAGGCCAGTGTGGGTTTTTGTTGGGGGAGGGGGTGTTTGGCATTGCAGAAAGAGAAGCTTGGAGTAAAAAGGTACAGTTTTTATTTGGAGGGAAGTTGTGGTTTGAATGAAAATGTTCTCATTGGCTCATAGGGAGTGGTAGCATTGGAGGTGTGGCCTTGTTGGAGGTGTGTCACGGGGGGTGGGCTTTGGAGTTTCAAATGCTCGAAGCCAGGCACAGTAGCTCTTCCTTCCTGTTGCCTGCCATTCTGGACGTAGAACTCTCTAGCACCATGTCTGCCTGTGTCCCACCATGCTTCCAGCCGTGACGACAGTGGACTAAACCTCTGAACCGCAAGCCAGCTGCAATAAGAGTTGCCATGGTCATGGTGTCTCTTCACAGCAGTAAAACCCTAGCTAATAGGGAAATCCAGAATGGACAGACCCTAGGACTTGGTGTGAGTGGACACAGCATGGCATGGTTGGGGAGGCAGAGCTGCCGAGTGTGGCAATATGGTAAGGTGGTATGATAGAGCCCAGAAAGCAAGAAGGATGACTGAGGCACTGACAAAGAGTATCAACGTGGTGCTGACACCCTCCTGGCTACCTCCAGGCTCCCCCTCCTCACCCCTGCCTCTTTGAAGATATGTCCTTGGGAAAAGGACATAGTGTAGAGTCAGGGGGCTTGTCTCCCTTTCCTAGACAAGCTATAAACTCGGACAGGTAGCTTCATCAGTGTGAGTCTCCACTTCCCAATCCAGAGACAGAAATGATGATGGAATGTACCTACTTACTTCATGGAGTTGTGTGTTACAGATTGACGCATAGCCAACCAAAATGCTTTGA